ACCACAGATGCTGCTGCTGTGACTGAAAAGAAAATCTCACGTGACAGAAGCAATTCCTGCCTGCTGATGTTTCAGTGCAACAACCACGGCACCAAAGCTCAGTCTGAGCCTTGTCCTGTTCCTTGGGGACCTCAGGACAAGGGGAACAATGGCTGTGGGTGGCTCAGTGTCCTGCAACACAAGTCAGGTCAGTAGAGACCCCGAAAGCTTAAACTCAATGCATTTATTTGAGACAAAAAAAAAAAAAAAGTGAATTTTCTGCTTAACAGTCAGAATGAATAAACCAGCAAAATGACTCCAAAATTCTTTACTTGCTTTCTGAGGAAAATACCACTGAGTGGTTTCATAGAATCCTTGACAAAGATATCAGTTCTCTTCTTTTTTTCCAGTTACTTCAGGCTCTGTAACCCTCTGATTTTCCATACTTGTTACAAATATGATGTTGATTAAGACACTGGAAACAGAAATCCTCTTGAAACAAGCATTTTTCTCAGAGGAACTCCTTAAAACTCTGCAAGCAAACCCACTATCCTGTGACATTTGAAAAGGAGAGCTGTGAAGCCATCCTGCTGGGAATAAGGCCACTGGCTGGTTCTGCTCTGCTACCATTTAAATCTCAAAGGTCAAAAGAAAATGTTCCCAGTATTTTCTCCATGGAAAAAAAAAAAAAAAAAGATCAGGCATGAGCTGGGGAACTTGTTTGTTTTTTTTTTTTTCCCTGGTGGATTTTTAATTCAAATCAGACTCAACAGGACTTTTTCTTCAAAATGCAGCCAAAGGGTTAATAACAGTGTGAAGGAAAATAAGATTCCAGATCTGGCTCAAGTTTGGCACCTCTCCACTGATGTTGGGGGTTTGGGTGCTTGACCCCATCTAGTGGCACTCCAGGAACTAGGAGAAATGCCAGTCCATGGTGGTTTGTCACTCATGAAACACAGCCACGGCTTCCCCTTGCCCTGCTGTCTTCTCCTGCCTGGCAGCAGAGCAAGCTGTGGTACATGGAGGTGTTTCCCTGTCTGCTCAGCCCCAGCAGCTCCTGAGCAGTGCAGAGGGAGGAGTGTGTCCAGGCAGGTGGGTAATGGACTGCTGGCTGAGGATATCCTGTAGAAATAAATCAACTGAGCAGCTCTTGTTTCCCCCAGGTGTGCATCCCTTTAGGTGGGTGCTGGATAAGAAGAGTTCCACTGGAATTTCATTTTTCACTCAGCTCCAAGAACAAGTGACCTCTTTGAAGCTGCTTTGTGCACAGCCCTGGGCTGGAGTGTGGCTGTAATCCCACAGCCCCTGCATGAGCAGACCTCTGCCAGCTTGGGTGGGTGGGGTGGGCCACCTCAGGTCCCTCCTAAAACTGCCCCAGCTTGGAGAGGTGTTCAGCCAACTCTACCCACTGGAGCAGAGCCCAACCCTGTGGCCAGCTTTGGTGAAGACAATTTTGTGCCTGGCTGTGCCTCTGGAAGGTCAGTTTACCTCAGTCCCCCCTTCTCCAGTCTGAATTCAACAGAATTCAACAGAATCACCAGGTTGGAAGAGACCTCCAAGATCATCAAGTCCAACCCAGCCCTAACACCACAACTGGACCATGACACCCAGTGCCACATCCAGTCTTTATTTAAACACATCTAGGGATGGTGACTCCACCACCTCCCCAGGCAGACCATCCCAGTACTTTATTATTCTTTCTGTAAAAAACATTTTTCCTAATATCCAACCTGTAATTTCCCTTGGAGCAGCTTGAGGCTCTGTCCTCTCATTCTGTCAGTTGCTACCTGGAGAAAGCAACTCTGACTCGACTCCCACCTGGCCACAACCACCTTTCAGGAAGATGTAGACTGTGATAAGGTCGCCTTTGAGTCTCCTTTTCTGCAGGCTAAACAACTCCAGCTCCCTCAGCTGTTCCTCCTGTTCTGTTGTTCAAGATTATTATTAGCAGTAGTAGTAGTATTAATAATAATAATAAACAATAATAAATGAAGAAGAAGAAGAAGAAGAAAAAGAAGAAGAAGAAGAAGATGACGATGACAACGATGACTGAGTGACCTCAGCTGCTTCTCATACAGCTTCTCCTCAAGGCCTTTTACCTTTTACCATCCTCATGGCCCTCCTTGGGACACTCTCTAATAGTTTAATGACTTTTTTCCATTGTGGTGCCCAAAGCTGTCCCCATCACTCGAGGTGAGGCTGTCCCAGCCCAGAGCAGAGCAGGACAATCCTCTCCCTTCCCTGGCTGGTGATGCTGGGCCTCATGGCCCCAGGACTGGGATGTCCCTCCTGGCTGCCAAGGCACTGCTGATTGATATTCAAATTTCTATCAACCAGGACTCCCAGGTCCCTTTCCTGGGTGCTGGTCTCCAGCATCTCATTCCCCAGCCTACTCACACAGCCGGGGTTGCCCCATCCCAGCTGCAGAATCCTTAATTTTCCTTTGTTGAACTTCACACAGTCGGTGATTGCCCAGCCCTCAGATTTGTCAAGGTCTCCTTGCAGGGCCTCTCTGGCCTTGAGGGAGCCAACAGCTCCTCCCAATTTAGTGTGAGCTGCAAACTTATCTAGTATTCATTAGAGTCCTGTGTCCAGGTTGTTGATGAGGGTGTTGAAAAGCACAGGAGCCCTCCAGAACCGCACCAGTGATGGACACCAGCCTGATGTCACCCCATCCTTTACAGCCCTTTGTGCCTGACCTGTGAGCCACTTGCTCATCCATCACCCCACACAGTTATCCAGCTGTGGGCTGGACATTTTGTCCTGAAGGATATTGAGAGAGACAGACATGGACTTCAGCCCTTCCTCTGGGACGTGCTGGCACCAGCGTGGTCCTGCTTTCAGCCGGGCTGATGGTGCCTCCTTTAGTTAATAACCCCTGGGAAGGATTTCAAAGCCAGACAACTCTTCTTTCATAACCACCAGGTCCTTCTGCCCTGCCTGCTGTGCCCCTCTGGACCTGCCAACACACAAACCTACTTAGTTTAATTCCACCCTCCTGCTGCAGAGCACTTTGCAGTGTTCATCTGCGGGGCGCAGGGTCCCGGGGGAGGCCCCCCGAGCCAGCTCTGTCCCTTCCTTTACCCCAGCACAGAGGTGAAACAACTCCCAAAGTCAACAGCACACCCTGCGGCTGCACCGGTGGAAATTCAGGATGAGGCCACGGAAACACAAAAAATTGCCTGTGAACAGCTGCAAACACAAGCAGTGCTGGGGCAGGATGCCCAGCTCTATTGCAGGATGCCCGGCAAGGCCAGTTCGCGCTGGAGCTGAGCCCTTTCAAACTCAACAAGCGCTGTATTAATGAAGCTCCTACCTCGTTATTGGTTGTCAAGAAGCTTAGCGTTGATTTAATGAGTTCCCTTTAGAAGCCTCCACTGCTGCATTCCTTGGAAGATTAAGGGCTGCTGCTTTTTTCCCCCCCTCCCCTCCCTTCTGCTTCTTTCTAATGATGTTACTGAGAAGGCAGGAGAATGTGAGATGTGCCCTGCTTACCGCTGGGTGAACCCCATTTACACGGCATTTTTACTTCAGGAACCCTTCCAAACATTACACAGGCGGGATTTTACATCCGACAAAAGAAACAGATAACATTTACCGAGATTAAACTCTCTTAATGCTGCCAGAGTTTGCATTTGCTTTCTCATGTGCCTCTCCAGTGCCTTTAGTGTTGAAAGTACTCTCCAGAGGCAGGTTGGAGAAATGCTGTAATTTTTTTTTTTTAATCCAGCATAGATGACAAACAGTGTGCATTACCGACATCTATGGAAACACTCGATACCCTTTGGAAACGCCAAAACATTTGTTGTACTGAGCTGTACAGGTAGCAGGAGGCTCCATTCAATCCGTGCTTCGCGGGGCCACCACGCAACCAATTTATTAAACCGGGGAAAAAGAGAATCGGTGCCCTGAGCTGAGCAGAGCCGGCAGGGACAGCTCACGGCAGCACAGGGACCATCATCGCCGCTAAGCTACGTCTGAGATGGATAAAGAGGAGCAGCTTTCTCTGGGGAATCCGGCACAGATCTGGATTCCCCAAGGTCTTGTTCCTGAGGACACGACTTTGAGCGCTCGCCGTGGGTCGAGGTGGAGGGGATGGGAGGCGTGTGCGGTGGGATGGGACTGCGAGCAGCAGCTCTCCATTCACCTGACCTGCGGTCACTCACTCGCACGGCACAGGGGAGGGAAGGGACAGGGCATCCTTTTACAAAGAGACAAAAGGCTGGGCGAACGAAAATTTAGAGATCTGAATTTTGCAAACCAGAGTTTACTTGCTCTGGAGCCTCGTAGCAGCTCCTTGTCACAGACAAGGCATTTGGTTTGCGGCCAAATAGCTGCTGACAAAGAGAAGGGGGGAAAAAAAAGACTCGCAGAAAGGCGTCGGCATTGTTTCTGTTGTGAAAGCATTGGGCTGTCAGCTCCAGAGCTCTCCCTTTTAGGCAGGACACATTTCTCCCGCAGCTCTCCCTGCGCTGTGAACCGTGCTTAACCAAACCAGGCGGGCGAACGGCACCGAAAGTTGGAATTACCGCAATTAAGGATCGGCTTTAAGGCGGAGGGGTGCCCGCAGCCCCCGGCACGGCACAGGGAGCCGGGCCCTGCCTGCCCCGGGGCTCGGCCGGAGGGGATGCCCAGGGCCAGAGCCTGGCAGTGTCCGAGGAGCCCGGCACGCTGTGCTTCCCTGCTCCCCCTGCCTGGGGGGGAAAGCTGCCCGCAGCTAAACTTTGTAAACACGGCTGCTCCGGGAGAGGAAGCCAGCACGGCTGCGAAAGCGAGCATCCCCACGCCGGCAGGGAGAGCTGGCAGCCACTCCGTGTTGGCAGCGCCCAGCCCTCCCCTCTGCCAGCCTCCCCTTCCCCTTTAAACAAAGATGCGTGCGGAAAGCAGCAGGCAGGCGGGATCCCCCCCTTTCCCCTGGAGAAGGGGCTCGGAGCCCGGGATGCGGGCACGGGGAGCGGCCGTGCAAACACCGCCCGCAGCCGCAGCCGGAGACGCCGCTCGGTGAAAAACAGCAAAAGTACCTTTTGAATTCTTCCATCAATGTCCAAATAAATACATTTGGGCCGGTAAGTCGAGGAGGCAGATCCCATCTTGCTACAGCTAGGCTCTCACCGGACTTGTTTCCAGTGTCAATCAGAGCAGAAAATCAGGTTTATCCTACCCAGCCGAGCCACCGCTGCCTGACAGTTTGGTGTCCCCGCTCTTCTGTATCCCACTGTACTCTCATTCTGGGAAGGTCCCTCCTCTAACATGCATGCATTTTGCTGTGCCTCTGTCTCTGCCACCTCCTTTTAGTTTTGCTTCCCTCCAAATCCAGCTGCCTCGGACAGGGAAAGGCACGGGCTCCAGATGCTGCCTGCAAGCCCCCTCTCCATTCCCATAGCAACAACCCCTCTTGGCTTTAAGGCTGAGAGCATCCGCATGCGGGCTCTGACCCTGGGACTGACCAGCTCCTGTTATGCACAAGATCAAGTGGCATTTATGCCTCGGGGTGGGCTGCGGAGGAGGAAAAACCTCCTTCATCGGTGTGGTGAGAGGTATCATTTGATTTTACACTAAAATAGGACGGTAATTATTAGTTAGTGCCTCTCGGCACAGAGACAGGCTCCCGTCTGGAAGTGCCCTGTGGTGGAAGTGTCCTTTCAGACACCCACTGCCAGCCGGGGCTTGGACCAAACTCAGCAGCTCCATTTCCACATCCCTCCCATTACCATTACAAGGACAGAAGGAAAAAGCAGAAGCTTTTTTTTTTTTTTTTTTTTTTTTTCCCGTAAGCTCCAGCAGCACGAAGAAAGCACAAAGCCCATGCTCTCGCCCACCGCCATCCGTGCCGCCCCCGGAGAGAAGGAATTTGTTATTTAGGGGAACGTGAAGTCTCCCGGCAAAGGCGTCTCCCGGAGCAGGGCAGGGGGGAGCGGTGTCCCCGGAGAAGATGCCGAATGCCATGTGCCGTGCCCGGGCTGTGTGAGAGGCTGCACAGCCAGCACACAGCCCCTCCTGAGCCCCAGCTCCCTGGGTGCTCTGGGGCTTGGGATGGAGGGGCTGCAAAAGCCTTTCCTGGCCTCCTCTGTGCTGCAGGCTGGGAGAGCAGCCGGGTCCGAGCTGCTCACCCTGCACACCCCAAGCCCTCTCTGCAGCCAGAGCGAGACAAAACTGACCCCAGCAGAGGCCAAGGGGCTTGGCTGTGGCTTGTCCTTGGCTCTGGCTTGTCCTTGGCTGTGGCTTGTCCTTGGCTGAGGTTTGTCCTTGGCTGAGGTTTGTCCTTGGCTGAGGTTTGTCCTTGGCTGCCCGTGGCAATGCAGACCCTCTGTTCGCTGTAGAGGGTATCTGTAGGGGTCAGAGGGCTGAGTGTGGGTCCCAGGGCTGCCTGGGAGTCAGAGCCAGGCTGACCTTTCAGGCTGGAGCCTGTGGTACCTCTGGAGCTCTCAGAGGCAGTAGTGAGCTGGTTCTTCTGGGAAGTGCAAGCCTTTGCTTCACATCTCCCCCTGCCAGCTTGGAGCAGGCATGGGAAGTCTTCCAGGAGAGAGCCCCTGCCAGTGCAGGGGTATCCTGGGGTTGTCCTGTGGCCTGTGCTACATAACCCACTGCCCTCTCGACTGTCCTCTAGGCTGTGTTGCAGTCTGTCCCCCAGACTATCCTGTAAACTATCCCAGAGCCCAATCCCTCAGATTACTCCACAGGTGATCCCCATGGATGTTCTGAGCTACAGCTTCTCCCCCTTCACCAGCCCGTTCACACCAACCCCACTGCTTCTGTACACCAGCCAGGACCTCTGTGACCCATCTTTCCATACCCTGCTCTGCCAAGCACTGCCTTAATCCTGTTTTGCTGTGATTCAGCGCTGAGTGACTAGATTGACCCAGCAGGTTCCTGAGGAAGATGGTTGTGATGACAAAAAATGCAGCCATTTGGGAAGAGACAACAAGAACACTCCCTCTGGGGGATGCACATGGGACATTTAGGATCGTAGAGGAGGATACTGAGCTCTCCCACTGTGATTACCCACTCCAGGAATGGTCAGACAATGTCACTTCACTGGTGCATTTCAGGACTTGATCACACCTCACCAAGATATCTAATGATCACATTGGTGAGAATCTTCTTTTGGATTTTTTTTTAATTTTTATTATTTTTATATCTGACCAGCTTTTCCAGCCAGCAAAAAAACAAGCTCTGAAATCCAGGTGATGAGCCTTGTCTTGCCTCTCCACTGTCCCTGTCCTATCTACTCTCCCTGTGTATTTAAAATTGTGTTTCTTAAGCTCCAGCACACATCCCCCCCTCTCCCCAGTTACAATAATACTTGTTGGAAAAGCTACTTTGCTGTAAAACTGCTGACTACTGCTCTTTTCAAGAACTTCAAGTAGAAGTGAATCTTCAAAAGCTGAGCACTCAGAAATTACAACAGAAGCCTGATGCAATCGAAGGCTTAGTTCAAGCCCATGCCTGAAAGGAGACGAAAGATAACATTCATCAAAGAGAATGTGCAGCTCCAGCAGATCACTGCCTTGAGTTGGTTTAACCTTCCAGAGCCTCCTTATTTCGGTATACAGCGGGAAACGTGGGGCAAAAAATACTGGGAAGCATTATCCTATCCCATCAAATCCTTCAAATCCAAGGATAGCAGTACAGTGCCTACAATGATTTTCCATCATTTGCCTTAGAGGAAGGTTTTGTCCTGCTCAGGGCAGTGCCAGGTTCTTGTGCCCCTGACCACAGGGAGCACATCAGGTGTTTCACAGCTCTGCTCTACCTCCCCTGCCTTGTTTGCTGAGGCCAAACCTTCACTCTGTGCACTCAGACCCTGGAATGTGCCTTTGGGAGAGCTGCAGGGCTCAAGCCTTGGGCCCAGGGATCTGGCAGTGCCCAGCCAGATGTCACTTACCCCGGGGGGTGCTCCCAAAAAAAGGCACTTCTGTCTCCCATCAGCTCCGTGTGGGTGGCTCAGAGGCAGCTTGGGGTTCCCAAGGTGTAACCAGAGGATGCTCAGATCCCACATTGCCCTCGGACTCGCTGCTGTTGAGGCACAGCTCGGCCACGCTGGCTTTGCACGGGCTGAGATCTCCCCCTGCTGCAAACCCTGCTCAGAGGGCGAGGGAAAAGCTTTAGGGATGAGAAGGGCTGCTCAAGTCACTCTCCATGCAGGCCTGGGGTGGGGTGGCACCATTCCTGCCCCCTCCCATCTCTGCCTTTCTCTAGCCCTAGAGGTGAGAGAACAACCTCAGCCCCTCTGAAACCTGGTTTTCTTGCTGCAGTCAAGAAGTTCAGTGCCCCTTGCAACCTGGCCTGGGGACTGCACAGCAGGGATCTTCAGAGGGATTGAGATGGGGGGAAAGAGCCAGAAAATGTAAAACTTTCAGCTAAAGATTTTGTACTTTGAAAAACGTTTGCCTAGAATTAAAAACAGAGAATGGCATTTCTTTGAAATCAATTTTTCCTTACCTATTCCATACCTAAGCCTTCAAAGTACTTTCTCTGCCCATTAACCCCTTCCTTGCAGGCGCCATCCTTGTGCTGCAGATCCCTTGCATCTGTCTGTCTGTCTCCATTTCCCCACAGGGCCCTGACCTGCTGCTTTACCTCTCCATGCTCCAACCTGCCAAAATGCCAGATTGCCCCTGGAGCTGGGAAGGTTTCCCTTTCCCTCCCACAGCTCCTCCCTACTTCACTCAGCCTGCTCTCCCTCTTTTCACCCTCTTTGGTGTTTTGCCATTTTTGCTTCTAGGTGTTTTTTCCCCACAGACCTGAAGTAATGCAAGCTGTCTGCAGGAATTAACTTTCTGATTTATGCTGTTAACAGCCAAATGATGGCTGTGGCAGTGGGAGCTCCTCATGCAGAGCACGACTGACCTTTCCAGCCCAGCTCTCACTCCTCTCCACAAACCCACAGAAAGAACATGGCGTGCTGCACATGGAAATTTTACCTCACTTCTTTTACACTCTGCCAGATTTCCACAGGCCCAGCCCTGGAAGTGATCATATTGAACATTAATTAGAGAATGGCTGATTATTAATATTGGGACCTTTATGGGATTTGTCCACACAGGCCCTGAAAACACCCGAAAGTGGTGCTTGGCCCCTCCCTACTCTGCAGCACAGCTCTCCACCTCACTCCTGGCTCCAGCCCCGTTTTTGGGTCCTGTTGCTCACCCCAGCCCCATTCCCAGGCCACTCAGTACAGCCACACTCGCCGTCATCCTGGTTTCCATGGCAAACCCCCAGGAACGTGGGCTGGAAGGGAGCTGTGACATCTGACGTGGCTGGTCTGGGGCACTGGGGTGCAGAAGCAGAGCTCTGTGGGCGGGAGATGTGGGATTACTCACTGGGGAACCAGTTTTGCTCTTCAATCCAGCAGCCTTGGCCACCTCGGTGATAATACTGCCTTCGTTCTCTTTACAGCTGTAGGGAAATTTCTGGCACCTCCCAGTAATTCTCGCTGTGTCTCAACACTCAGAGCCAGTTAATAGGCTCAAATCTTGAGGAAGTGAAAACAGCCATCCCTGTTACCTCCACAAATAAATATCTGTGTGTGCAGTGCTGGCTTGGAGAAGAGCAGACTCAAGCCATGGACAATCCTTCCATTTTATAAAGCACTTGTCCAGTACAGCATCTGGCATTTCTTGGCTTTTCTCTTTTGTCTGTTGAGCAAAAAACCCCATTTTTTCTCCTGCTGTACATTAGCAGTGTTTTCAGTGATCTGTTTTCTACACCACTTGCAATGCCTGGCAGGTCCCAGGTTGGTTTCCTGAAGGTCTCCCAGCAGTGCACAGCCATTGCCTTTCCCTGAGGAGCGTGGAAGGAGCTCACTCTCCACAGCATTTCCTTTCACTATAGCAGCGGCACCAGGTCCTTGGCACAGCCCACTCTCCCTCCTGATTGCACTTTCCACCACCTCCAGGAGCCACAGGAGCCCAGGAATCTCCATGGCCCATGCCATGGTGTGCCTACAGAGAGCCTTGGCTGCCCTCCTTTCCACTGCAACCTCTCTGCTTGATTTTCAGCCTCCCTTCCCTCTCTGCTTTCCATTTCCTACCTCTGTTTCCTACTGCCACCTCCTCCATCCAGCTGCCTGTTCCTAGGTTTTCATTCAAAGTAGGAGAGAGGCAGGAATCCTGTCCCAGGCACCTCTGCAGGACGTGGAGCTCTCAAGGCAAAGCACACACACACACATGGGCTAACACAATTAATGACCCTGCTGCATCCCTGGAACAG